TTTTCAAAGGTTGTTACTGTTTGTTGCTTTTACGAGGTAGGAAAATTTATATCTTTTTTACAAGTGAAAATGTTTCTGTGACGTTATAAGACTAATCATAGATAGATAGTCTATACCGGTCATCTAACGGTACTTTTCATTATTCATTATTTAAAAAACACTTACTAGTACAAATCGGACAGCACTGGCCTGGCGGTTGTATTGTGGGAGAGGCACACTCAACGGGTGGACAACGTACAGGGTCACAGCGGAGAGCGCCGTGGACACATCCACACATGTGACAAGACTGTAAAAGCAGGACAAAAAATAATCAATTTACGTTGGTTGTTGGGTAGCCGCATAATAAAATAAACTTAAGAAAACAATTTATTTTTCAATAAATTGACTTGATAAGACTATCCAATGAAAAATAAATGCAGATAATTGTATAATCTTCATAGACAACTGGTCCCATCACAGAACCTTGTAGTATGTCATACATATAACATAGTAAACAATACTTCTATTATGCCTAGTAAAAAATATATTTATCGATGTAAATCGTATTTTCTTATAGCTATAGTTGTTATTAATGCCTACCTCAGTAGCCATCCATTGGGCACCATCTTCGTAAGAGCGACCAGCGTAGAAGCATGAGGCTGTGTTGGAGAGTGAATTGTCCGGTGGCACATTGACATGTGTCGGAGGGTAGTTGGCACTGAGCTCATTGTCTACAGCGTATGGTACAGCTGGTAAACACGATGGTGGCACACTTATCTAAAGATAAATAAAATAATTATTTTTACGTTTAATTTTAGTATACCACACCTTTAAATAAAACACCTGTGAAATGGTATATTATGACAGAATTTTGTAAAAATAAAGTTATTATATGTACATTTTGTTTTCAAACGTTATAATGAATGAGACAAATCTAAGAATAAAAGTTTTTGGTAGCTAACAATTCATAATTTACCTTGCTTCCTTTATCTTCCAGACAGCAGAAAAAATAATAAAATTACATTATACAGTACTTAATTTTTAAAGTTATTGGTACAAGAGATAAATTGCAGAACTTATTTATACTTTTTTAGTAAAGATAAAAATAAATAAAAAAATACAGATAGAACTTAAAGTAACGACCAATCGCTATAATGTTGTTCATTAAATATTTCAATAATAATTTAGATCTTATCACTTACAACCTACGTGTTGCGGTTAGACGAGTTTTGCCTTCCGAGTTAGGTGAATTATAGAAACAGTTTTAAACCTAACTTTTTAATTCATATTAGCCCCTTGTGTTTGTCATGTTACATTTATGATTAAATATAAATTCTGAAAGTTATTTTACTCACCTGGGGTAACCTTGTGCGAAGGAACTCAGTGCCGTTGTCCGAAGCGCGCACGTTCAAGTAAGCGGCCCCTGCGTGTAACGCAGCCAATTCAGCCGGACTGGGTTCCAGAACTGATCCTTCAGAACCAGTTAGAGCTCGGGGTCCTGTAGAACCTAAGGCGTGACTCTCCAACCACGATGACCAACCACCGTTATAGCCGTTTATGAACACCTGAAAAGATAACAAATGTATGGTCAATGTTATTATTTTTTTAGTATTTAACCCTACTAGCTATCAAACCGTGTAGAATCTAGCTATTTAGCTAATAAAAAAATATCAAAGTCAAAACTCTTGTTTTTAAAAACATTCTTTAAAGTATTTTATAATTCTAAAAGATCAAAATCAATATATAACTCAAACTTGCTAATCTTTATTAAATTTTGTCCTAATGTTGTGTAGTACACATGTATATACCTACACCTCTAACGGTTTAAAATGCGAAACAATGATTAGCCTGTTTCAACTGCCAAAAGCCAAAAACAAATCTGCTACGCTAACGCCATTTGTTTACTTGTAAAGGGGATTAGGAGAAACTAGCTTGGTCCTTATACCCTGAGAAATTTCTTTTTGTATAAACGTACGTTAAGCGATATAAAAACGTTGTAGGTATTTTATTTAAGTCCCATATTAAACCAGTAATTGGCATGATACCAACGTATATTATTGAATGAGCTTTACCTCATAATTAATTCCGCATAGAGCATCAACTGAGACCCAGGCGAGCCCAGCAATTGGAGTTGTTAATGGGAGACGGACGTCCGTACGCTTCAGTAAAGCCGGACCTGCTCCAGCTGCATCGGGCAGAGAACGAGACAGCAGACGCCCACGGAGCAGAGGTGGACCTATAAACACAAAAACCTTTTTGTAACATTTTACTACACTCGAACAAAACGTGTTTTTTTCTTATTTTACTTTTAATTAATTCATAATCTGTTTTATCTACAGTACACTTAAAACCTTAAAATAACACAAAATGACATTTCTGAATGTATATACGAAGAAGAAGACAATACAATAAAACTCTACGAGACATATTTAGTATTTTTATAAACACAATTAAGATAATATAAAAATATTGATAATATAGTACAATATGTGCTTCTAAACATTTTTTTTTTCAGTGTATATTCGCTTATACGATGTAGTAGGATGCACTCATCTTACCCGTATCAGACCCTATATGAACAGCGAGCTGATCTTCATAAAGGGGAGGAAATATTCTTGCACTGGGTCTGGCCAATACTCCCATACGTGTATCCAATATCTCCACTTGTGAATGGCGCTTGCCTTGTTCATCAACTAGTGTTATCTTTGGATCTGGTATGCTTAGGTTGTCCACCTGAAAAACAAAGTATCCTTATATTTCTAAACATTACTATACCCAATTCAGGGTTTAATATTGAATAAATAATTTGAAGATATTTCTTACATTCTTTGTGTCTAAACTGTTGCAAATCTATTTTTAAAATGTACATAGTCCTACTTTTTGAAGTGCAACATTTTTATCCTTAAGTGAGATAGTTATTTTGTAAAATCTTTCCTAAAAAAATTTCACCATTTCTACTACATACACATAAACGATTTGAACTTTACAACCCCTACCTTTATTTACCTGTATATCGTAAACCAAAGAGCCTTCTTTATCAATGTATATAAGAGCTAATCCTTCAGGTATTGTAGTGGCTGCTAATCTCTCCGCCATCAAAGGAGCATGGAACACTTCACAAGCTGCCCTTTGTCTCACAACTCCAGATAATCGTCGTTCTGGGGTGCCCATAGCTTCCACAGATAGTACCAACCTCCCTCTAGCTAATGATCTAAGTTCTGCAGCTGAGACTGGTGTAGACACCTCAATGATATTAAATTCATAACTCGGCTTGCTCATTTTTTGCATCTGTAAGAAAAATGATGTAGTTATCATATTATTTACTGTCAATGTTATATCTATATATACTGTTCATAGTCAAAGTAAAAAATCATTTAATGAATTTTAATATTAATTTAAAAAAATATTTAGTAGACTTTCGGAAGTAAGCAAATAATTATTTAAGTAAGCCAGTAAGTCCTACGTCGTATCTTTTTTTAGTTCTTATTTAAAACCTTCATTAAAAAGTTTATTCTTACTTCATCAATTATAGTCTGATTCTTCTCCGGTAGTGTAAGTGTCACTTTGATAGCCTGTTCCCTAGAGCCTAGCTTGAAAACACCATTGAAGACTATAGCTAGATGTAGGCTAGGAGCAGCTCCAGCAGCGCCTGTGACCACAGCAGTTCCCCCCCACCAACCTTCTTCCTGTCCTGGTACGCGGTAATCGTCACACGCCCCGTTTCCAATAGATAATGGCGCGTGTTCTGGTTCTAGCAGCGATGTAAACATCTCCGAGGACAGGGCAGGATATCTGGAATTGATTCATGAATAATTCAATAGTAATTTCAAGGTAACTTTTATGCTCAGCGTATATTTTATTGGGTTTTATGATTATTTTTATCATACCGTTTACTTTACGTATTTTTGTAATAAGGTGTGGATAAGGCTAATTTTAAAGGCATTTAAGTCATTCTAAACAAATCTCAAATCAAAACTCGAGAACATAATCTTATAAGGCTGCGAATTTGGCTTTTGAAAGAAATAAAAATAAATATAAAAAAAACCCTCTTTTGCATACAAAATATTTTTGATTGAAATTGAAGTTTTTTTTCTGCGGTCTACATGACATGTTTGTGTACATTCTTAACTATAAAGGTATATAATGTCACATTCTAGAACATAATCCGTAGTAAATCTTATAATCTCTTCTCCTTGTTCTTGTATTGATGTGCTTACGATAGTGCATTTTACATTTGCCCTACTAACTAACTTTACCCATTAAATTCTTAAAATAACAAACCTTTATATGTGCAAGTAAAATTAAACCTTGAATTGTGAAACAATGATCTATATTTCTAAAATACATGTTTCATAAATTGAAGTGCAATTAGATTTGCTTCGGTGGATTTCCACATTAAATGCATACTAGTTAAAACGAGCCGCCGCGTCTAGACTCGCTAATAATGAAGCCAAGTGAGTTTCCGTTATTAATCATACGGTTAATTTAATTCGAACAATAAGACTACTAAAATATCCTTGGAACTTCAAGGTTCTTTTGCATGGAAATTGGGATTTGATTGAGCTTATCAACTGTTCCATCGTCATTGTTTTATCGTTCAATGGTACATTTTATTTGATTGTCTAAATTACCATACATTTTATTAGATTGTTTGCCTACTTTGAACTCTGTTTGTTAAATTATATACTTCTTACCTATTATGTCTAGTAGAGAAGTGACGGTTTCATGTATTATTTAAGTTTTAGGTAATGCGCTTGTCTGCAGAATGGATTCTTGTGTATCTTTATTTAATATTATATGGTAATTGTGTAATTTTTTTATAAGTACTTAAAAATAGAAATACGTTTAATATACGATTATGGGAGGGCAGTATAAAATCATTTGTTTTATTACATTACTCAATTATTCAATAAAGCTGTTGCAAACACGAAATGCTTAAATTTATTAACAAATTATTTTATGTTTTGTCCGAAGTTTCTATAATTTGGCGTGGTCACGTGGTCCCTTAAGTGTTTTATTTAAATGTGCACTCTCGTGAACTACTGAGAGTACTGTTTTATTATTGTTTATCATAAACCGATGTTTAAATGAAATATTTAAGAAAATGTCATTCAATTATTACAATGTGCAATGATAATATAATTACAACTATTATTATAATAACTGTAATTTCATTTTTTATTTGTTACGTTAAATATACTATACTTTATTTAATTTTTCCCTTTATTCACTTAATCGGCGACAACCGCCAATGGAACATAGTCTTATTTGTAGTACAATTTACACAAACAAAAATACATCATAGACGTAAGATGCCTTATCATATATCGGACAAAGTATAGTCAACGGACATTAAAACGTAAGAAAGCAGGTAATTTCAAAACGGAAACCAATAAAAAGATATAGCACTTCCCACTGCCTATTTCAGTGAATTGTCAGTCGAGACGTAACCGAGGTGTGAATGTTGCACCGGTAATACATGATATTGCAAACATCAACTGCATATAAACTGGAGTCCGTTTCATGAAAGCGCTAATATAAACCCTACTTTACGATTATGCCTTGGAATTTGTTATGAGGCTTGACTTGCATAGATATACCGTTCTTAGTATTTCACACATTTTAAATCTTGCGCTTGCTTACGAATTTGCTATTTTACAATGTTATCGCTGGTGTTTTTATATGACTATCGTCAACCTCGCGGGCCGATGTGTTTAAAATTTATACATTTTTTTCTAATATAGACGAGGACAGACAAGCAGGAATTTTAATCTGTTCCGAGTGTCTAAATCCACAAGTAAGGTGTTTCAATCAGACGAACCTCATATTTGAGTAGTATATTATATGTACTGATGGCGCTAGCGTAGCGGATTTGACTTTGACATTAAGGACACCATTTTAAGTCCGTGACCATAGTTAAAATAAATTAAATAAAAGTTAACGAATACATTTCGCGTTTTAAACCGTTAAGTGTTTTATTTAAAGGTACTCTGTTATTAATAAGTCGTAAATTAAACGTACCTGCTGATCCGACCACTAAGGGCTGTGTCCATAGAATTATTTCGCTCATCACCCCAAATCAACGCCACATAGAGGGACCCTTCGCGTAAGAATCTCTTATATTCTCTTGGCACTCTGCGCCAAACACCACAGAGCTGTAAATAATACATAATCCTAAAAGCATGTTATACTATATTCGACACTGGTTTTTTATAACATTGAACTGTGCAAGGTGGTTCGTGACCCAGACGACACTTCGATATTACCACCCATTTCATATCCAGATATCCAGACGAAGTCCAAAAGTTTCAGAAAGATTATAACTTGATTAGAAAATGTTGGGAATCGAATCCACGGTTCATTGACTATTAGCCGTACATTGCTACACCAACAAGCACATGATGGCACTATTTGTTATTGGCGTCAATTGGTTAGAGCAAAACGCTGTGGACGCCGGTTCAAGTCCTCCATCCATGTCGTATTTTTAAAACTTATAATTGATTTTTAATTTATATCTGATAATGTCAACTTAATAATGAAATAATACCTTATCAGTCTTCTCCTCGTACGTTGCGTGTATACCTTGGGCCTTTTTTAGTGGGTGCTCTAAAAGCATTCGACCACCTCTGTCGAGAAATGCTAAAGCTCTAGGTCGACTGACCATCGACGGTCCCAGTAGAACAGACCAATAAAGATGGCGTCGACGGAATGTGAAACGAGCTGTCGCGACTCCAGCGGCTACTGGTACTCCTGTCATATCATCACGTCTGATGCAGAGAGGTGAACGACCAGTTAGGAGTGCACCGAAATCTGCAAATAATGGAGGGGATTCATTAGTCTTCTTTTTTAATCATGAGGAGAACAGACAAGCAGAAATTTACTTGATGGTGTGTAATATACCCCCCAGCCTATAGCATCTAAACACGATGAGCTGTCGACCTTTGACTTTGGATATTCGGAAATCGACAGACTGAAACCGATATGCGATTGAGCTTCGTTATTTTTCATTTGTATCCAGATTTCCAGACGAACCCCAACATGTTTCTTAAAAATTATAAATTGAAAATTAGACACTTGTTGGAACCGATGGGTATCGAATCCACGACTCGTTGATTGTGAGCCATACATTGCCACCATTAAACCGACCAGCCCGTTGAGGCATAATTTAGATAATGACGTTGATATGTTATTTAGAATTGATATAATGGAACGCAACTGTCTTATAGTTCCCAATTTTGACACTTTTGGCGCTATCTTCTCTTGCTTTAACCTTTGTGGGGATTGATAGCGTAATAGAACGATAGGTTAATTAAACTAAATATTTCAATTAAATACTACAACAACACATAATCCTTTAGTGTCATTAACATTTTATTTATTTTGTGCTATTAACGTCAATAAAACCATTATCTCTTGATGACATTAGGTCATAATTGTGAGCTAGATTGTAAGAAATATTGTTTCACTGTAAAGAATTTGTAACTACCCGCAACATACATTATATAAGCATTCATAGTCTACATTTTAACTACTTTATAGCTGTTTATACTTTTATAATTCGAACTAAAAATCTAGTATCTTATACGTTTTATAAGAGTATAATTTTACTTACGTTTCATACTAACTTCCTCTTCTTCTTGCGCCATAACCACAGTCGGACTATCTTCTTGTACTATATCGGGAGCTGCAAATAAAACACGAACTGAGTAAATTCATGCAACTATAAACAACCAAATCAATCAAGGTGATATCGGGAATACGCAAGCCAACTGATTTGAATGAGCGCAATAAATTAATTCGTAATATCACATTTAAAGTTAAGTATGTTTATTAAATCTAGCTTGCTAGTGTTACCCATGTTTTATCAGATAAGGCCTAAGTTACTTGTAACAAGATGGTAGTAGGAAGTAGGAACTGCCCGTTGGTCAATGGTGAAGCAACTTCAAAAGAGCGATTATCGTTTTTTTATATATTTTAAATGTAAAAAAATAACATATAATTTTCTTTCTATATTATTATTTTTCGAACCTTTACAAAGTTAATAATTACAAAACGATGATAAACTATGGCCTCTGGAGGCAGAGTAGTCTGCAATTTTTATAACTTGAGTTTATATTTTCATAGTCTAACAATGTTAATCTACGAGAGCACAGTGACCGAAAATTGTTAACATAACTCTTACACAAATAATAGTTAATTCATTTTCACCTACGCTAATTGCGCATTTTTAGTTTCCCATTATTGTAAATCATGTTTTTTGTTATTAGGCCACTCTGCCTCTAGCTGCCTAAATTATGATACATTGTTGCTATGTTAATTTTGGGATCAAAATGTAGTTTACTTAACTTTAGTTCTTACACTAGTTGCGTTTACTGTTGTGCGTTTCCATAAATTCAAGATCTTAAAAACTTTAGCCAATAACTCTCGAGATAGAGGAATTAACATGATGAAAGATGTCGCGGTCAATTGAGCACGGTTTACAATAATTCACAAACGATTGAGGGACCGATTCGCAAGACCTTCCCGACCCCTATTCGGGTTGATTGGATCAAGTGTTAATCAATCGTAACAGTGTGGCGTCTAGACGGCGACACTAGAATTACTATTTTGCATTGCTTTCTTGCTAGCCGAGGAAATAGCGGCGCACGCCCTAATATTGTAATCGATCTGTTATAAATAATAGCCCTACATTCAACAATTTATTCTCTTTATATATTTAGCCAGAAGCTGTTATCGCTTAATAAATTATTTATTTTATTGTAATTAATACGGTTTCGCGCCTAGCTAAATGTTTATCTAGAGTGAGGATAGATTGGTTGCTTTGATATAGAATATTATGGTAGCTGTAATCCTTTTTCTGAGGAACAGTGCAGCAGTTTACTTGATGGAAGATGACAAGCCCTATCAACCTCGGCTTGAATATTAGACTTTACAGCTTTTAGCATCTGTGGGCAGAAGGATCCACAAACATGGTGGCCCCGGTAGGAATCGAACTCTGTATGGCTAATAACACTGATTATTGCTACTATTAAACCAACGAGCCAGTTCTAATCATACCTGATGCTTTAATGATGTTACGTTTCAGTGTTAAGTAATTTTGGTAAACATAATGTTGAGTGGAGTTGTTTGTGCGATGTTTGAAGGCAGATTATAATTTAGTTGCACACAGTGGCGCCATTATAACACGTAGCTATTCATAACAATCTGTGGATGACGTTTTTAGATTTATTATTGGTGGCGCCAATCCAGTGACATAAACATGAGCTATTTATATACATATTAGTTATGTTTACCTAGTTTGTTTCTTCGGAATATTTCAAATTACAAATTATACATAATTTAATTTGTAATGTACTATGGCTCAGTTATATAATTTGTCTTGAATCCCAAGAAAAGTTAGATGTTTTTCTATGTGTATCTCGACCTACATCTGTCGCATGGCCTCTCTTATTGCAAACTGCTTTATATTTCATACATTAAATTATATGAAGATTTTTTATATTTCATACATTATTTACATGCTTTGGTCTAGACTTAAACATTTCCTATTACGAGATTATTAATTCTATAATTCTAGAATCATATGCTGTCCTCTGAGTATGCGCCAAGATGTTTGCAATTGTTATAGTCTACATTCTTCTTTTCTGTACGATTCGAGATGTGGACTGACGGCGCCGCGTCGACACCTTTGACTTGAACGCGACGAGGCGCCGCCCTAAGTCTGTGGTCTTCTATAACTGACGCAGATCGCGTACGAGTAACGCATTACGTCGCGTTATGATGTTTAAGTATATATCCTGTAGGTCAGTTTATCTAACGCGGGAAACGACATCTCGTTTTTAATATTCATCAATAAACAATTGCAAATTTGCAAAGATTGAGTATTGACTGTACGCGAATAGTACACATTTAGATGATCATTTTTAACGGTTTAAAACGTGAAATATATTAGATAACTTAATTCACAATAGTGTCTCTATTTACGCGAGTAGAACACATTAAAAAACAGTATTAACGGTTTAAAACGGAAGAAGGATAAGTTGAATGTTATTTACAAATAATTTCAACTACGGCCTGACGTTTTGGATCTTTTGCAGCAGCGCTGGGGAAACTAATGTCCCTAATGCTAATGGTATGTAATGTAGTTGGTAATTGAAGAAACTAGATGGGTCCTAATAGAACCCTGTCATCTCCATTATAAACGTATTTTACTGCGAAACTTCGCCAACTATAAATTCAAGTTAGCATTGATATAAGACTGTAGCCTTATGATCGTGTAGAATGAATATGTATGCGCACTCACACAATGGCCGGTGAAAATCCACTCAAGCCAAGGTGTCGCAGAACGTTTCCACTCGTTAATGTCATTTAGCGTAAATTTAAACTTTTTGAAAGCAGCCTTGAGTGTGCAGACGTGACGCGACTAGCGCGAAAAGTTCATTCTGAGTCTTGCGTCGTCTTACGACGCCTTAGACGCGGCGAGTTTTCCAATCGCGTGATGTAACTAGGCGCCATATTGCCGACGATTGATACCGCGAATGGACGCTGAGAGGCGTTTACGATTATCCTACTTTTAATATTATTGAAGCATTTTTAGCATTCGTTTACAGTAAAAAATGGGGGTTGCACTCCACCAGAAAAAAAAAACATTTTTTTGATGCCAGAAGTGAAAACTCGAATACGTTAAGTTTTGCATTATCTACTTTTTGGAATGGCTTAAATTAACAGTGCAAAAGTAGTGTCACTTATGTTGTAAAATACAAAATGCATTTATCACTATACCGCATCACAATCACGAGAATTGATATACTTGATTATCTACCCTCTCATTTAATGTGACGATTTTTAATTCAAACATTTTTTACTTATTCCTAAAAAGTGCATTATTGTACTTAAGAAGTTCTCTCTTGAATTAAATAAGACGGTTTATACGTGAATAAAAAGCGAAATATATTAGAGTATTTCTGAAAAATACTATTTAACGTTGCGGATGCTTTGAACCAGCCGTATTCAGGGGCAAGAGGAACATGACTTGACATATTTTTCTTTTTGACAAAGGCTACAATTTGTAAACATATAGATTTGCCTGTTTAAACGTTTATAAGCACATCGAAACTCTAAGAGACACAGTCACAGATTTAGTTATAGCTGTTCTAGTACCTACAATCTGTGCATTGGAATAGAATCTATCAGTAAAACAAATACAGAAATGAAATTTAACTTTTTAGTCTATGTAATGGCAGGTAAATGTGATGTGCGGCAAATATGTATTTAACTACCAACACTAGCTAGAAATCTAAATGTATAGTTTCTCATGTACCGTGAGTAACGCAGCGTGGCGCACATAGCAATAAACAATTATACAAGAGTATAAAAAGCAGGACTCTTATGTCTATGGGTGTACAAACGATTCTAAGAAACCAAGTACCACTTCAGGTCGAACATACTAATACATTTGTGGTATTTTAAATCAGGTGACACGGAACTATTACGCTGTAATACAAATTATTCTAAGACAGTAGAATAGTTGTTTTCGTTAGAGGAACAACGTCGTTAACATCATAAGCTTTCTACATAGCTTTTAGATTTGATAAACAAAACAGAATCAATTGAATATTGAAAGACCCAGAAAAAATATTGCAGGCGTTAAAACTCATCAAGAACTTTGAATATTAGTCAACCTTTAAAAAAAACCTTTAGGTTCTTTAGTTACCTTTAGTTCTATAATTAGTTAATTACTATATTAGAATATTCAGTGACCAATTGTTATCGCTAAGCATCCGTAACGTCGGGTCGTAGTTGAAAATAAATCAGCTTAAAAATTTCGCGTTTATAATCGTTAAAAATGTTTTAATTACGAAAACCCTGTTAATTAGGTTTGGTGACCTTTAACTTTATTAGAAGTTAAACCACCGGGCAGAAAAGGCAGAAAAGAAAGGTCAGTCACCAAAAACTTTACTTTTAATAAATACTCTTAATAGCTTTTAATTTTTTTATTTAAGACACATTAATTACTATCAATAAATCTCTATGTAAAAAATGCAGATAAACAGCGATTTAGATAATTTTATCTTTAAAATACTACAGAGCCTAACTAAATGTAAAGGTTATTTTACAAAACGTATTTCCCACGTCCACGTACGTATTGATTGGAATATCGTTCGCAAGTAATGACACAGTGTTACTCTGCATATGATTATTATCGTCAACGACCGTTATTCAAGAACTCCGGCGCAGTCTAATTGGCAATTGGCAAAGTGAATTGTAAGGATTCTACGTAACCGCAACGAAATGACCGAGCGCAGTTATTTCATTGATGCTGTCAAGAACGACACGAAGCGCTTATTGCGGTTGTGTTGCCGGCTCGTTCGCAGTCGGCCCGCACTAATTTATGGCTTAGGTATATTTGCAGTGATTATGGCAAAGAATTTATGGTGGAGGGTGCGGTCTCATTGTTGCGCGCGCGCATGCACGCTGCAACTTGGCTCCGTTTCAACGGCCGTATCCATAAAATATAATTCCATCCCGATGCTCTGGATGTTCCGTTGTTAATGTTTCCGTGTAATATAAAACATTGACATGTAATATGTTGCACGATTTTGCATACGGCCCACGTTTATGAGCGACAGAAATGATCGACATACGCCCACTCGTACATGATGATGCGCCCGCGTTTGTGGAGCC